AATGGGAAATCCTGTACTTTCCTCTCAATTTTGCCCTGAACCTAAAAGTGTTCTAAAAATAGTTCATTTTGGGCTGGGGATGTGGCTCAAGGGGTAGTGCACTCGCCTGGCATGCATGGAGCACTGGGTTCAATCCTCAGCACCATATAAAAATAAAATAAAGATGTTGTGTCCACCGGAAACTAAAAAATAAATATTAAAAAATTCTCTCTCTCTCTTTTTTGTTTAAAGTTCATTTAAAAAGCAAGTAAAGGGAAAGACAGTGAGAGAGGAAGGGCACAATGGTAATTCTGTGATGTGGGTAGTGTTCTCTTTTGACCTGTATGTTTATTCTGTGTAAATCACATGTGTATATACTCATGAAGAACAAACCATACACATTCATTTCAGCCAGAATAAATTGGTTGTATTTTTCACTCCTCTGACTTCCATTGACATTTATCAGTTACATACATTCAGACAAAAGGAGAAGTGCTCCTAAATGTGGGCTTGTGTTGGACATTATGTTTTGATTAGTGTAGAGTGTAGCACAGCATTTCATGGACCTTAAGAAAACGCAATATAGATTGTATTTAAAAAATTTAACACGTAAATTTATTTGTTATCTTAATTTTAATTTTAATAAGCAATACAGTTTTTTCTTATACATCATAGAAATATATATGCATGTACTTTCTAAGAAACAGCACAGGCTTGCAATAAAAATTAGTGAGCAGTAAGAAATAATAACTACAATACAATAATAATAGAGTACAAAGGAACACAAATTGCATAATTCAGACAAAAAGGATATTCTAATTTTATTGCACTCTTCCCCATTTACCCCCAAGAAAGCATAAATAAAGCTTAGCAGACAGGAGCACTTATGATCAAGGTCAATGTTGGAAATAAGTAGCACCTTTAGTCATTAAAATGATTGTCAACAACTCTAGGAAGCCTAAAGAGCAATTCTGATTTTGTAAAGAAAATAAAACTAGTTGATATGTACCATAAAGTTTTGCTGCTGCATATTTCAGCATTTGCATAGAATGTTTGAGAAAATAAAAAATGAATTTGATACAGAACATTAATTTTAAGTAAATAAAATGTTACAGGTGTTTCTGTGTCTTATTTTTAATATTAGAGAAGTCTTATAATATATATTTCAAGCTGCATCAAAGAATACTGTAGTATCTTTTAATTATCTAGATCCATCATGTTATTTCAATAAGATTACTCTATGCCTGGCACTTTGCTAGGCATTAAAGTTGTTGTCATTCTAACTAAGATGACATCCTTATCCACAAGGAGCTCACAGTCTAGTAAGAAAGAGATGAATTGGAAAATATACTCAAAACTTCGGGTAAAACATGTATTCCCACAGAGGAATTTGACAATTTGGTTGTAAATTTATTGTGTAGTAAGACCTAGAAATTACAGCAGATATTTCTCTAACATATTATTCCCATGTAACACTGTAAATCAACTGAAATTCAAGTGGTAAATGATGCAGTATTAAACAAATCTGCTTTAAAAGGAAGCAGGAACAATTAATTGATGAACAACAGAATAAACTCCTCATTTAAATAAATCTACATAAAATTTAGCTAAAACAAAAATATGTTCTTATATGAAAATGCCATTTTTTTCTCATTTTTTGTTAGCTTCTTACATATGTCTTATTTGCTAGGTTTACAACTACTACAGACACAAAAAATTTCAAAAGAAAATTCCATAAATAAATAAATTTATGGAGATCAAATCACAATCACTTTACGTACATTCATCTGTAAGAAGGCAAAAGGAAGATGGTCTACCTTATATTTTTAAACATTGACAGGCGAATATTTAAATTAATTATTTTATATTTTATTAATTTTTAAAAGAAATGAAATAGGACAATCAAAATTCACATCATATAAAAACAACTAATTGAATCCTCTTATGTGTCAAGCAAAACTACTCTTTATTTTATCAGAGTAACTAACCACAGTCAATAAGCCATGTGGCAACTTGTTCAGCAGTCATTAAAATACTATAGAACAAAGAAATTTCATTATATTTTTTAAACTTAAAAGTCATAAAATTACAACACAAGATATAATTTATATTTTAAAAACACTTGCACAGATTAACCCTTAAATCCAATCTCTTAAAGAATTCTTGAAAAGGTAGCTGGGTGTGGCTATGGCCAAGGAATGTCTTACATATGTGTATTTTAATATTAGTAACATGCTATGTATAACTTTTATTTCAAAAATCTTACTTTTTCTAAAATTCCTGGGGCTCAGGAGACTGAGACAGGAGGATCGAGAGTTCAAAGCCAGCCTCAGCAAAAGCGAGGTGCTAAGAAACTCAGTGAGACCCTGTGTCTAAATTAAAAAAAAAAAATACAAAATAGGCTGGGGATATGGCTCAGTGGTTGAGTGCCCCTGAGTTCAATTCCCAATACCAAAAAAAAAAAAATCTTAATTTTTAATATTTGCTCCAGTTTTATACTGGGATGAGAAAGGAGTATTTGTTGAAAGAATGTAAACTATTAAATAAAATTTTTCAAAAATTTCTTAAAAATGGGAAATTATTCAATCTAGGAAATATTTAATTAAAATGAGTTTAACATATTTGGGAGGAAATACTTTATATGAAAACTTCAAATCACATGCCAATTTTAGTAAATATTTCAAAAGACTATGCTCATTCATCTCCCACATAGGAATTACTATACCGACAGACTGTGACGGAAATATGACATCATTTTTGTCCTGATTATAAATGAAGGTGCCTTATATTTATTACATGCACACATTGAAAGTACTGAGACTGCCTCCTATCACAATGGCAATGTACTGGAAACAGTAAAGGAATGTTAATTTGGCTGAATCTAATTGAACACATCACTGACCTCAGATGTGTTTAGGGACAAAGAATGAATTGAGCAAACAAATATTAAGCGCTGATTATTGTTTTTACGTTTTTTCTGGAACAAAGCTCTAAAAAGCCACCACTCTTCCTCCAAGAATCCTTTAAAAATAATTGATTATTTTTGTTGTTCTTGTTATTTTCTGAGGTCATATGAAACAGAGATAATTTAGAAAGAGTATCTATCTATCTAGGTATGATGGAGATAGATGGTATTTCCAGCATAAAAGAAGCTCTAGTTATACTGTTTCCAAACATTTGTTGTGCATTTTAGTATTGGTAATTAGGTGAGATTACCATTTCAAAACCAATATTTTTGGGGGATAGACCATATTCTAATTATTTTCTTAACATATCTTCAGGTTCTTAGGTTAAGATTGTAGGCATGATCTCCTCAAGTAATACAATGACAATAATTTCTGGCATGCAATTTAATAATTCACAAACTTTTATTTTCTATATTCTGGCATTTTAATTTAGGGAACAAATGCATGAATGCTACTTTTAAAATATAAATGTAAGCAAAAAAGTAATTACTGGAATACTGAAATATTATTTCTATTAGCATAATATTGGTATTTTAGATTACTTTGATATTATTATAACAACATGTATTGTGTAAAATCATTCATCCCAGTAGATATTACTTCTGATTTATCCAGAATTATCTACTATTGCAATCAGCAAATATTTTCAAACTAAGTTTGGAAACATGATTTTACAAAGTATGATTGGAGAAAATATCCATATGGAATAGAAAGAATTTATCAAGTGTGTTTCTAGGAAAATATTTTATTCACTCTATAAAATTCATCAGTTCAAACAGAATGGCTTACATAGTGCAATACAGAAGAAAATGTCTTTGGAGTCAAAGGACCTGGGTTCCATCTCCAACCCTGCATTAATTCAGAGGATTGGTGTATATTTAGGCAAAGCCCTTAATCTGTTATGGTCTAGTACTGTTAAAATGTGGATGTCTAACAAAATTAGTTTGGAGGGTTGAGAAGATGTAACAAATTAATTGAGTACATCTTTCGGTGTATAAATATGTTAAAACAAAATACAAATCAAAATACAATTATATCTAATGTTTGGAAAATAAATATTTCAGTTCACATGTCTTATTTTACTAAATCCAGAAATTCATACTTTAACTAGAAATAATAGGTCTTAGAAAAATAAAGTCTATGAATAACATGTCGGATATTGGTGATGTATGTTAATGAACAAAATATATAAATTAATTTGGTCTAACTAAAAAAACTTGTTAGATACATATGAAAGTAAAAAAAGGGAAAAAAAATAAAACACAATAGAAGTCTGAATAAAAATAATGTTTTAAAATTCTACCCAGAAACTCATGAGATGAAAATCCCATCCTTTTCTTTTTCTGAGCAGAACATTTTACCAACTTATGATGCCTTAGTAGAGTGGTCAGTACCAGTGTTTTCATACAACAGAGTTTTTCTAGCTTATTTTGTTATCTTTGAATTAAAAACAAAGAAACAAAAGAACTGTTTTATCATGTGAAGAAAAATATTTGCTGCAATGTTAATAAATTTATGATCAGTGAATGCTGGCTTACCTAGTTATTCCTGAACATGGCTCATCTCATTAAGAAGTACAGATAAAGATAGAAAAACATAAAGATCAGGGAAATAATGGGTGTATAACCAAATCCACCAAAGAAACAAAATTCCATAGCAAAACTGTCTATGATTAAGTAAAAAGGTTAAAGAAAGTTATCTCAACATTAAAAAAAAAAAAGGAAAATAATTAGAGTAAAAGGGAGAGAAAAAGTAGAGCAGCAGGGGGTTGGAATGGAGAAGTAACTTGGTCTAAGAATTTCCATACACCACCAAAGTCAATGTTAATTTTGCTCTTAAGGTAGACATTTAAAAATTATCATTCATAAAATAACTATAGCAATTCCTATGTAATCTGTCCCTACCTGAACTGAGGAAAAAGCATTTGGAGAGAGAAGACCAAAATCACATAGCAGAAATTTGTAATGAGCTCAAATCTACAGCATAAGAACAACTGATAACACAGAACAGAAAATCAAAACTATAAAAATCAGAACTATAAAAAATGACGTGAACTCAGAAAATTACTCATTTTAATTGCATCAACAAAAATGAACATGATTTCAATAACACAGACATTATAGTTAAATACTGATATTTGGGCTTCTGAGCTTTTCAGTGGATTCACAAACATGATCATGCATATGGATATGCAGAGGTCAAAAATCTTAAAAGAAAAAAGGTGAGATGAGAAAGTCAAGATTTTAATTTTAGTTTTTCATATCCATAAATTTAATGTTTGGTTTTATAAACTACTATGGTAAGAAATTTACTTGATATGTTTTATCAGTGATACTACTGCATTGCCAAAGCCTACAGGTTGATATATACAGCAATGCTGTGATGGTCAGCTTTGTTTCTAAAAGTGTCAGGCACTTCAAGAAAAACAGAAACATTCATGATAATAAGTGCCAAGGATAGGAAGACTTTTTTTTTAAAAGATTCTTTAAAATCACATTCAATTATATATTTATTGTGCGTAAGGAAAACTATACTAATAAAACACTTAGAACATAAGCTTATTCACTGTCCAGGAAACCTCATATCTATAGTCACAGGAGTTCCCTTATTTGGAAAGATAAGTATATACAGTTGGCGTCAGGACAACTATTTTCCAAATCACAAATAGATAGGACCGGATTCATGGATTCATCATGAGGTCATAAAGAAAGCAGTGCATTAGAAGTGCATCCCTCAATAGAGGTAGGAGAAACACATTCTCAGGATTTCAAGAGTCCAGAGGGAGAAGATGAAGCAACAATGATAAAAAATGAATGATGACATAGATGTTCAGAGAAACCTGAAAAGTAATATGTTCAGGGGAAGCAGTATTGAACAATGAAAAGAAATACATATTATAAGGATAAATCAAATACTCTGAATCTCTTAACTCCTTTTATGGCAGCTTTGGATAATCCTACAAATGGGGATAATCACTAAAATTCTAAATATACTGTTTTATTATAGTAAGTAGTTTTCACTTTTTACATTATAATAAATAGCAGCCAGTATAGGAATTCCTTATCCACAGTAAATATCATTCTCCTTCTAAATCCAACTTCAGGGAAAATTTATTATGCTTGAGTCATATAAATATGCTGCTATTTTTATGAGAAAAAAAGTCACTTTAAAATAATTATGGCTACTACATAATCATCACCATAACTTGGGATAATTTTCATTGTCTAAAAAAAGCAAGCAATTTGAAATAATATTCAGTTTATAGCAAACATATTCTCTAATAAACACTGAATAAATAATACAAATTTCAGTAAAATCTAATTTGTTTACCATATAATGTTTACATTTTTGTATCTATACTTTATCTACTTTTGCCTCTGTAGTTTCTATTTGGAAGCAACATGGTAGTGAATACCCCAGGGAGGGGCTCTTTTCTGCTTTTAGGTAAACCTGAGTTTAAATTTTGGTTTGGTCATGTACTACTTTTTAACTTTGGGGACTTTTCTGAGATTCTTTTTATGTCTGTTTCTGTTTCCACTCATTAATTATATCACGTTAATTACTTCTACCATGGCTTTGGTTTGAATATTAAAAGGCATTATATAAGCAAAATATATGATACATAAATATTAGTTTCCTTCTCACTTTGTATTCTTTCTCCCTAATTAAATTGAGTCTTACATTTATTATTTTAATTTTATTAAAAGTCTGAAATATTCTACACAATAAGATTAAAAAAAAAGATTTTCGATGAAAAAAGTTTTAACTAATTTATCAAGGTTATAGCATCCATATAAAAAATATTTATATGGTGTCTTTTCCTCTTTTAAATACCCTTGTCATTTTATAGGCAGAAAATGATGTGTATAAAGTGCCAGGATTTTAAAATGCACGTTTAGACCTATCAAACCTAAGTGTTTCACTTATTTTCTGGTGTCCAGGTGAAGCCTGTGGGCCCATGAACTAATTTAGTTGGAATCTGGTACCAAACAAGTGAAATCAATGAGTCATATGAATTAATACGGAGAAAAAAATCAGGTCTTCCCATGTGAAATATACTATAACCTGGCCCCTTCTTTTTTAAGTTGACCTAAAAAGCATTAGGAAAGAGGATGTGGACAGGTCAGGACAAGTCCATACCCGATGATCTGTCAGAAAATGTGAAGAAATATTTAAGGATAAATACTGAAATATAAGGGATGCTAAGTTAACACAAATGGCAAAATAGACAGTGATCATAAATTATTTTGGTACACTGGTTTATGACAATCCTCCTATAAATTCCATGGTGGGCAACAGAGTCTAGTAGGAACTTTAGCAGTAATTGACTTTGCTTTCTATCTTGAACATATAAACTCTATTGTTACTTAGGCAAAGAAATATGTTCAGCACTAATTTTTCAGACACAGAGGCTAAATATATTTACTCCTCCACTTGTGTGACTATGCAATAAATGAAAGTTCTGGGCCAATATTCTTTGCTCAATCTTTGATTCTGTAATTATTCTTCCAATGATTGGAGGTGAAGTAATAAAAGTGAACAAGTAGAATGACTTATAATATGCCGAAAGAATTCTTAATCCAGTATGTTTTTATATCATGTTTCATGTGTGTTCTGGACTAATTTTTCGGGGTAATATGCATGTATTTTTATGACTTTATGACTGTGCACTCTCAGGCATGACTCTATATATGACATCATACTTTGAATCTGCAAATTTTCTTCCTTTTTTTCCCCTAAAAAATTAATATAATCAATGTTAAAAATGAAGAGATAATGGAAGGCAACCAAAGAGCAGCAAAGCAAGTATAAATTGGTTTGACTTGACTCTTCAGTTGGCAAATAAACCTCTTCCCACGGAGAAGGCAATGGAATGCACCCCACAGAAAGTCTCTACTAGCCCGTGATAAGGATATGGTTTTAAGAACCAAAACTCCAAGATCATTACTTTGTTAATTATTCCTTCCTGGAGTCTGATACCTGTATTAGTTTAGATGTGTATTTTCAGAGAATGCAAGGTATTTTTACGGAAGTGTTTATAACTGGAGAAATACTACACAGCAACCATGTTGCATTTCATAGGATGAGTTAGAATTGAATACAAAAGCACTAATAATATAAAACTAGTTAATTTGAGAATCAAGATTGAGTGAAACTAATGAAAAACAGCCATATAATGTCACATTTTTCTTCATTTATTTATCTATGATCTTGGCACATCTTGTTTTATTCAATATTTGAAAAATATAAACATCCTATCATATGCAAAAAAGCAAATCTGAAATGAAAAAAAAAATTTATATCACTCCCTAAATATGAGCCACATGCTTAAAGAATGCAAAAATTTTAAAGATCAAATCTTTAATGTGAACTCTTACAAAAGCATGGTGTCCAGGTACAGTCTCATTAGAAATAAGAATAGCACCTGCCTCTACTGCAATAAAAAAAAAAAAAGAAAAAGAAAAACAAAGTTTTTTGGACATATGAAGGGTGACATCACTTCAATAATAATATTATAAATGCTTTTTATTAATCAGAATATTAATCTTTAGATTTGTAGGTGTAAATATTTATCATTTTAGCTATGATATTTGTAGTTTTGAAAGCACAGAACTATCAAATGTGCCTGTATTAAAGAGAAATTTAGACTCTCAGATGTTTTCACACAGGAAAATGACAAACTGCTGAGTTAACCTGGGCTGCAATCTGCCAAGGTTCTTGCCATCATGTATTAACCACACTCACAATTCCAAGCCACACAGTCTATACTTCTAGGGCTTTTTTTTTTTTTTTTTAATAGTTTCCTGCTTAGAGTCACAGGCAGCATAGTGTAATAAGTAAGAGGGCAAAATTTTCAAGAGCTACCATTCCTATAGCCATTTTCAGTGGCTGAGGAAAAGACCTGTTTGTGCTTTGATCTTGCTTTTGTTTTTTTGTTTGTTTGTTTTGGAAGGGAGGAAGTTTAGAAGGGAGTTTAGAAGGCTCAATAAAATGACCTCACAATCTTAGTTAGCTATACTACATGGATTGCGCATAACAGGAACCTTAGATCACTGCTAAGGATTGGAAAAAATTAGGATTCGGTCTGTTTATGAACTTATCAGCTAGGATTCAGATTCATTCTTCTTTGATATTTCAGTATGATGGTGAAACTAAATTGAGGCCTAGTTAAAAGAAATCCCAGGTTCTTAATTTGTGGATTAAAAACTAAAATCCTGTTAAGATTAATGGATGTAGCTCATTGCTAGTTGTCATTCAGATCTTTAGTTTGACTTACATATTAAGTAAGAATTCTGAAAATTATTTGAGGGCTCTATTCTCTAGCACCAGGCACTAGTGAAACCCCTTCAAAGAAATCCTGGGTGTGGATCAATCAAGTCTAAGAATGCCCAAAAGTAATGGTATAAAATGGAGTCTTTCTTTTTTTCTCAGACTTATTTTATACACAGAAGTGCTTTTTTAAATAGCAGCCACTTACATTTCTGAATTAAGACCACCCTCCTTTTCATCTACGTGCCTATCTTTAAAATCCACATTGTAAAACAGTATGCAAATATACATTCTTTTTGTTTCCATGGACTTTTTTTTTACTTTAAAAAATGAACAAGTGACTACGATAATATCCTTTTCAAATTTATTTATTTTCTTTTGTTCTCCATATACTCTGTGTTCAAGTGGGTATGTACATGAGTGTATATGTTTATGTACATGTGTGTATGTGTGCGTCTGTTTGTGTGTGAGTATGTATGAGGAGAAAAATAATTTTTCCTCTATTTTAAACTTTAATATCAAATAAAAATGAAATGTGAAGAGAAGAGGGCTTTTTTATGGGATTCTCTTTTTAAGTAATTATATCAGGGTTTGAGATTTAGATCTCATTCTATAATGGACACTAGAAGTCCCTGCCTGGAAGACTTTAAAATTTGTATTTCAACCACCACATTCTGAGTTGAGTATGGAAATAAACTCGTTGCATGGATTCTTTGTATGCATAACCTCAAAATTTAACTATCCAAACAAATTTTTAGGAACTAGTTTACAATTTGCCATCGAGTAAAATCTCATTTCCATTCTTATCTGTGGCTGCCTGTTTCAACTAAAAACCTTTTTAATATTTTGCAAAACAGAAGCAAACTTCTAAGTAAATTCATGAATACTGAAGTCAGAGGCGTGATTCTTGTTAAATATTAGTTTCTCTTTCTGAGGGCGCACTCTCTCCTTTTGGCATTTTGACAGTAACTTCATCCTGTTTAGCATTGCTCAAGGGTTCCGATTCTCTGAACTCCTCTGTGTTCATTTGCTTCTTCATTGCCTCTTCCTTCTTCCTTTCCTTTGCAAGCAATCTATAGTTTATAGCATTACCAATGAGCAGCCATATACTTGAGGCTACCACAATAGCCCCACTGGCTAAGTACATGTATTTATAATCTCCAGTTATATCCACCAATTTACCTAAGAGACAAAGAACATCTTTTAGGATGACATATAAAAACAGTTATTAAATGATAAAAAATTTCAAAGAAACTCTTCTCTAGACAAATTACACACCTCTTATTTAAATTAATGTTAAACAAGACTTTAACAAAGAAAAAACATTCTAGGTTATGATGTCTATATAAGCTTAATAAAAGTATGTACATAAAATTAGAGCATTATAATAGTAGGGCATTAAATTTATTACAAATTATTCCTTCCAATAAAAATATACAACTAAGACAAATTAGGTATATATCTGTTTGTGTACTGATAACTACCAGAAAAAAATATTTTTTAACTCATTCCTGTAAGTAAGGATATATTTATCTATTTACTTATAGCATGCCCATCAAGATTGTGTCATTTTCCCATACTTCATTTTCTCTTCAATAAAGAGGAAAAAATGCAGTCTTTAGGACAGACACAAAGATTTTCACACTATTTTTGACAGGGCTTACAACTTACTAAATGGCTCCCTATCTCCATCTCTAAGCTAAGAACTTGATCTATCATATCTCATTATGAAGTAATCTGGTTACATGGCTAGTATGCGGCAGAATTTGGACTCTGAGGTCCATTGAATTTCATATTCATAACAACTCTACAATATGGTTTCACGTAAACTCTTATTCAAGTGTTATATCACTTTTAGTCTAATTACAGGGTTTTTTTTGCTTGTTTGTTTGTTTTTACTTTATCCAAGTCTGCAGTATCAATGCCAAACTAATCAGGAAGAAACCATTAGTTCAATTTGATTATTGAGATCCTTGAAGAACTAGGCTGGTACCACATAAGCTGAAGCCTTATTGACTTAAAAATCCTTCAGCTTGTAATTAGTTTTCCTCTTGTTCATGAAGGCATTTAATTCTTAATAATTATTAACAGCAATTTCAGTGTGTACAAAGCTATATTACTTATCACATGCATTCCAAGTGATTCCAATATAGACCCTTGAAGTCAGCCTATTTAGCAAGAGTTTCTAGCATTCTAACTAAAAATGTAGTCAAAGGTTCAATTTTAAATTTAGGTACTTATAATATTTACCTATTTGAATAAAATTCTCTGGTTTAAACAGGTAGATGTTAGAATGAGCTCATTTGAGTAAGCCCAAAATATATGTATATATAACAAAAATGTTATATATGTATATATAACTTTTGTTTTCCTTTCTAATTTTAGTCAAATATTTCTGTCTGTGTGATAGTCAATATAAATATGAAAACATAAGACCCATGGCCTCATTAGTTAATAATTGTACTTTCTAAGTGTTTTGGGAAATTTTCAGCATCAGGAAACCAGATATGATTTCTAGAGCTAAAGCTTCAGTTTTTTATGAGTATAAAACTTAAAGATCAGTCTGAAAAAAATCAATAGAAATAAAACCCACACACTCCCTACCTCTCATTGGTCTACTACCAAAGCTAATAGCAGCAGCAGCAGCAGCAAGTATGTCAGAAAAAAATCACCAAAGTATTCAAAAGTATTTACTATGTGCTTACTATGTGCCAGACATTTTCAGTAGTAATCAAATACTAAAAAGGATACTCCTGCCTGAGAGTCAAGGAGTATTACAAGGCAGAAATAGTATTAAAAAATGGATATCTATGCTACAGTCTGAAAGCTTCAACAATGAGTTCCAGATCTGTTACGTCAAATCGGCATCAAATGACATGATGATTTGCCAATATTAATGCAACAGGCACTCAGAGTAACTGAAACTGCCTTAAAAATATATTGATGCAGGTTCTTAGTATGTGCAGAAGTGGCAAAATCATATCACTTTTTAAAAAATTCTTAGAGCCAATCTACTATGTCTTTGATTAGACTTAATTTTTTTTCATATCACCAGGCATGGTAATGTATAATTTTTTCTCTTTTGATAGTTAGAATTTGTTGCTAATGCATAAACTCTAAAATTCATTTGGTCAAATCAATTTCATATGAAAAGATAGTCCAATTGTGCTTTGTTTTGTAAGAAAATAAGCTGGCTGATAAATAACAAGACCTAATGGCTTTCACTGTTTTTCAACAATTGTTTGGATATGGTGCTTTATCAATACTGAGAAACATATCACCTAAAATCTTCCCTAAATACTAGAGGATAGGAAAAACCAACAATCACACCACTAAGATCTTATAGCCAGCTCTAAGGCCCTCCTAACCAAGTGAAAAAGTGAAAGACAAAAGTCAATGAGGGCATTAAGAGTAACATTTTTGACATGAATGTCTCCACTTTTAAATGGTTCTTTGATGACACACAGAAAGCAGTTTAACAACTGACTAAATACATGGGGAAATTTGCATTTAACCTGACTGTGCACTAGGGGGCAGGCCAAGAATCTAAGCTTCACAGTGACCAAAATAACATACAGTAGTTGCTGGAAAAGTCTGTCCCAGAGAAAATAATTTAATATTAACAACATTTAAAATCTAAGACTAGACAAGTCTTGATGTCAGAATGTAATTATGCATGTGTCTTTACCATGGGTTCAGAAGCATTATTCAATCTAAATATAATTTCCTTTCAAAAGTACTCTTAACTGTATTTCAAAAGGAAGCCATAAAATACTGACAAGGAAGTCCAACAAAAATCTAACACTTCTGTGATGACTATTTTACCTTTCTTTGTTTCTTTTTTTTTAATAGTAGACCAACTTCTCAATTTTGTTGGTGGTGCACTAAACTTGTATTACTTTCTTTATTGAGTTAATTTAGCATAGACACTTTTATAGACATCTTTAAAAATATTTCAAATCTTAAAATATAAAGGTAATCCTTATCGATTGTAAATACGTAACATAAACTATCTAGTCGAAAGAACAACTTTCAGTGGATTTTTCTTTATCCCTGTATTATATGTTAGTGATATAAAGGTATGGCTTCCGTGGCAGTTAGTTACAAATAAATATAACTAACAGAATAAAAAACGAATTCTGAAATTTTCAGGACACGATTTTACATTGTGAACCCATTCTTATATAAGCAGAACAGAAATCTGTTCAGTAATGTTAAAGTCACATTTTTTTTTTTTTTAATATTCCTAAAAGCACAAAATAACAACTAATCGGGATAGAAGTCTTGAAAATCATGCAACTAATTACCAATCTAACTTAAGTTCTCAAATTCATAGGTCCAGGTTCTGAAACAGAGTCAGGTATAAAATCAACTAATTATGAAATTTTAAAATGCATAATAAAATATGAAAATTAATCCCCCTACAGTCTTTTTCGGCCATTAGTATTATTTAAAGCACATTATTTACTGTAAAGAACTTCTCAGCTAATGACTATCTGCATAATTCATTTTGCTCTCCTTGATAAGAAATATTCTTACCAGCAATAGGAGGGCCAAGAAGAACGGGACCACACTCTACCACGGTGACGAGTCCCACTGCACTGGAAAACCTTGGAGCTCCAACAAGGTCCATGAGAGTTTCAAAGAGGACGCTGCTAACACTCCCAAATCCATAGCCAAAAAATACAGCATATACCACCAGGCTCGTGTAGCTCTGTGCCAGGGGGCACAAGAGATGACAGATTCCAGTAAACATGACCGCAAAACTGAAGAAGTACTGGATTCGGGGACGGATAAGTTTGGAGTTTGCAATTAATCCTCCACAAGGCCTGGCAAACATATCAACAAAAGCCATAACAGACAACAAGAAAGCTGCGGAATACTCATCTATTCCCCTGTCCTTAGCATACGGAGCCAGGAAGATGATAGGGGCAAAAAAACCCAGAAACATGATGACGTTTCCAGATAGATAGATCAGAAATCCTCTGTGCTTAAAAAGGGAGAAATCTAAATATTTGTTAATTTTGTTCCATGTCGATTTCTTCTGTTGGATTTTCTTTGATTCTGTATCTTCTGCTCTTATGCTGATCTTATTTTTCGACTGAGTAGTTTGTTTGGGGCCAAGGGGTCTCATGAGGGCCCCAGCCACGCAGGCATTCAAAAATATACCTCCTAAAATCAAGAAGCTTCCTTTCCAGCCATAACTATTAAAAAGGAACTGATTGAAAGGGGCCAATGTACTTAAGAAAACAGGACTCCCTGCCATGGCCAATCCATTCGCTATGGGTCGTTTCTTATAGAAGTACTTGCCAATTATTGTTAAGGCTGGTTGCAGGTTGAAGGCTAAACCTAAACCTAAAAAGAACAAGACAAAAGAAGAAAAAAGAAAACACAAACATATTACACCACTCACATAAGAAATTATTTTTGGAAGGCACATTCAAGTGGGGAAAAGTGAATGAAAATGCAGCAGCAGGTAGTGATTTTTGAGGATTATAAGCATAAATGTAATTGTACACATCTAAAAATGTTGTCATAACTGGACACATTATATGATGTTTTAAAGCACAGATATAAAAACAAGAACTTCCACCTATGTATGAAAAATCACTGGATAGGTGGAAAGGAGGACAGAATTTAGATCTTATTAAAAAATCACTTAATTCCACAGATAAATTAACATTTCCTCTTAATATACATTTATTTGCAAATACATAGATTTCTTCTGTGTGGACAAGAGTGAAATTTAAAAATGGAAAGAATTTGTCTTTTCAGAGTTGAAGAAATGTGGACAGACTAAAATGCTCATAATTTGTAAAAATTTTGTATTACCCCAGAGGCATTTCTTTGAATACTATGCAAATAATAAAAAAGAGTAAAACCTTTAAGTGATTAATCTCATTCTTCACATCCCTCACATTCCAAATTTAATGCATGTAGATACGCAAGTGCTAAATAAAAAAGAAGTTTTTGTTTTGTTTTGCTTTACTTGAAATATGTTTTTATTTCAAGGATATAAGCTGATTGTTTCTATGAGCCAATGTTCCCATAGTCTAGGGAACTCCTTGGCAGTGTTTTATTGCCTTTGAGAAATGAATTAGCTTTTGTGTCCCACTGAAGCAATATTTAGCACTATTGATGAATAAAGTACTTTTGAAAGTGCATAAAATTGATTCATGTGAGGTACCTTTCCCCTGCACCCCCGCACCCTAGGCATTATTCGGTTATTTTAGGGGCTAGAGAGGTGAGCATTTTTCTATGTTTACAGTTCACTTAAATTGAAACAGTATTGTAAAGTGGTTAAGTATGTAAGTTCTGGGACTTACAGGTTTAAGTACAAATACTTACTCCAACTCTTTCAAACAGACATTTTATATGAATAGAAGGATCTCTAAAAGCTCAGGAAAGAACCAAGAACATGCCTTGGGGAATAACAGAACAGCATGATCTCTAACTCTACCTGTGAGATATGCAGAGTACGTGTAATTATATCCCACTCATAAATAATAAAACTGACCTGCCTGTGATCAAATAGCTTGTAAGTGGAAGAACCTAAGCTAAAATCCAAGTATTGTGTTTCAGACTTTCTTTATCTTACGTCATTTCCCTCCCATTCTGTCGCCTGGAACTTTTGTCTTTAGCTCTTATCCCAGGCTGACAATTTCTGGCATGGTACAGTGAACACAAGACTTTAAATCAATTGATCTGAATCTGGCTCCGTAACTGACCTGTTTGCCGCTGCTGAAGGCAACAGACTTCCTGAGAGTGCACACACTCAGCAACAACAACAAAAAGTCTTTTGCCAAAGTCAAGTTCTAGAACTTTCATGACATTGCACACACGGCAGTGTAATTGGTATTATTTGCTAATATTTATTTATAAATAACAATTTGCTGAGTACTCTGCAAAGTACAATGTATTCACTTTGCACATTAATTGTTCAACAAAATCCCTGTTTTATAGACTGAGACATAAGGAGGCTAATTTATCTCTGATCCCACATCATGTATGTGCTGAGTCCAATTTAAAAATTAGTACTGTATGCTTTCTGTAAATCAAAGTCAGAAACCAAGCTGGCTGATAATGACAAGGTAAAACCCTCATAGATATATATATATAGCATCAACTTCAGATGCTACTAAGGCCTTCAAGGCCCAAAGGAATGAGATTACACATTAGAATATAATAGTGTAATCAGTATTTCTGATACAGGGTGATGTAATCATCCTATCTTTAAGTATTGCCCACTTGAAGGCCCATCCTAACATTTCATGGTCAAATTCAATATAGTGATAGTCTGCACAAAGCAAAGGGCACTCTCTTCATCATGACAATGCTTAGATGTAAGAAAGTTGCCATTTAAAATATCAAAATGTGTTTTGCCATATCACATGGAAAAGTGGACAGGCTGCAAAGAGAAGAGTTGTAACATTAGTATTACTGTAGCCTATATTTTCATGAAATGATACATGACTGCAGGTTAGACTGATCTCAGATCATTATAAAACAGAGAAATGTTTACTTATTATCTCTAAGCATAAGGGAAGACTCAGCCTCTTGAATACATTGAAGACAATTTTTGCTAAAACTTTGTAGATTTTTAAATATAATTTATTGTTCAGGCATATAAAGTTGGTGCTTTTAAATGTTCAATTTCTAGTTAGAGTCAATAGATATTCTGCATGCGGCACCATGATAATCAAGTGACAGTGTGCCATTCAGCATGTTTGTGTTGTGGCAAACTGCCTCACTGAACTTTTAAACAGGTTCATTTGAGTGAGGAAAAGAAAGGACAGGACTAAAAAGCTCTACCACTAATCCGAAAGCAGACATAGTCATTTTATTGTTGAATTTCAATCAGTGCATACAGAAAATATCTCTTTCATACAAGTTTTAACATATTATCAGTGGTAAGTCAAATACTCTGAGTAATAAAAACAGACTCTCGGCTATAAATAAGTTTTTTAAAAATAAAAAACTTATTTATAGCCGAGAGTCTGTTTCTCAATTCCACCTCAACTGTCTGTAGAGCAAAAAGTCAAGTGAAAATAATTCAAAGCCATTTGTTTTTTAATAGTTAAGTGACTACTTTTAATAGTTAAAAGTTAATGCGTACAATAACTTTTTTCATTTCTTGAAATAAATTAGCCAGTCTAAAGTAGTTAGTACTTAAATGCACGATCAGATAAAATACTTTAAATTAACATGGTTTTAAAAAGTAAATTTAAAAAAATAAGTATTTTTGTTGTTCATGCTTTTTACAGAACTTTGAAACAACAGAAATGTTAAGAATAAAAGCTAAAAACAAAACTTGGCTTACCTCCAATGAAGCCCACAGTGAGGTAAAGCTCTACTACACTGGAACTGAAAGAGGCCAACACCATTCCCAAACAGCAGAGTAAGCCTCCTACTATCACCACTGGCCGGCTGCCATATTTATTCACCAAAACACTGCTGATGGGACCTAAAGTAGAGAGAAGATAAAGAAATATTCAGTTAGGTGTCATTTATTGATACTTTATAGTTGCTAATTTTGAGAGTTGAAAAAGCATATTTTCATGATTCAAGGAAAAAAATTAGTTCATATGGAATATAATGAGGAGTTTTCAAAACTTCACAAATAGATGGGTGTTTTGTTTTGTTTGTTTTGCGATAGAGGTCTCTATGTGGACTACAGGCATCTGCCACCACTTTCAGCTGATGAGTTATTTATAACTCTATATAAGAAAGCACATGAAATAATGAATTAGAAGCGTTCATGATTTTTTATGACCCTAACTATTCAACTTTTGTGGAAAAAATTTTAAATGAAACTTAGCTCAGAAATCCAAATTGTCTTTTAAAATGCAGGTAAGTTTATACAATAAAAATCTAGGGATTGTGAAAATGGCTTGTCTAAGAATCTTATAATAAAAGTTCAGTAGAGTAGAAAAAGGGAAATGAAGGGAAGGCAGGGGGGACAGGAAAAGGAAAGACAGTGGAATGAATCTGACATAACTTTCCTAGGTACGTATGTGAATGTGAATCTCAGCATCTTGTATATCTACAAGTTATTAAAAAAATAACTGGGTAAATGGCATAAGGCTCAATAAAGAGAAGAGCAGGAACTGGGGAGAGAGGAGGGGAAGGAGAGGTATTGGGTACTGAATTAGAACAGATACACTCCATACTTTTATAATTATGTCAAATGGATTTTACTGTCATGCTTAACTGAAAAGAACTCATAAAAATATTGAAGAATAAAAGAATAATGTGTGTATACAAACACATACATGCCATTAGTTAGAGCTCAGTTTTTAAATTATGTTCAACAATGATTTTTCTTTAATACCATATATCACTACTTCTAAAATATCAATTGTTTTCGAATCATATTATCTTAGTAACAAGAATGGTTTATACTTCATGGTTTCTTCCAAACTCTGTTCATCAGTTAGCAGTCGTAGGCAGTAATGTAGCTATCATGGCCTATGCATGTTTGCATTTGGTTATTATTTCCTGTGACTTGAGAGAACTATGATTAATCCCTCACACTTCAATTAATCATTTTAAAGGAGCATTTGAAAAGGAATATATAAAAATAAACCCTGAAGGCATGAAAGGTCTTCTGTTGATCCATTCTGATAAAAAGAAAGTAGCAGCATCAAAAAAAAAAAAAAAGTGCAATATCTCTGGCAATTAGAGAAATGCAAATCAAAACTACACCAGTCAGAATTGCCACAATCAAGAATCCAAAAAATTAATGTTGGCAAGGATGTGGGGAAAAAGGTATACTCATATATTGCTGTTGGGACTGCAAATTGGTCTGAAAAGCAGTGTGGAAATTCTTCAGAAAACTTGGAATGGAACCACCATTTGATTCAGTTATCCCACTCCTCCATATATACACATAGGACTTAAAATCAGCATACTACAGTGATACTTCCACATCAATGCTTATAGCAGCTCACTTCACAATAGTAAGTCTATGGAATCTACCTAGATGGCCTTCAACAGATGAATGGATTAAGAAATTGTGATATATATATGATGGAATATTACTCAGCCATAAAAAAAGAAAGAAATTATGGCATTTGCTGGTAAATAGATGGAACTGAACACTATCATGTTAAGTAAAATAAACCAATCCTCCCAAAAACAAAGGCTAAATATTTTCTTGATATTCACATGCTAACACACAATAAAAAGTGGGACAGAATAGAAGTTCACTGGATTAGACAAACGGGAATAAAGGGAAGGGAGAGAATATGGGAATAGGAAAGACAGTAGAATGAATCAGACTAACCTTTCTATGTTCATATATGAATAGACAACCATATAACTCCATATCATGTTCAACTCCAAGAATGGTATCCTAATTAGAATAAGTTATACTCCATGTATGTATAATATGTTGAAATACTCTCTACTGTCATTATATCTAAAAAGAACTAATTTTAAAAAAAGAAAGTAGCAGCATCAAAATTTATAGAATGAGTGTAGCAGTTCAAATGAAATTTCTAAAGAAAATGGTGGATAGTTGCTTCACCAGCAAAGAGAACAATCTTATGCATGAAACATAAACATTGAGAACTGACTCAGATACTAAATGAGAAAAAATTCTAAGACTGGCTTATCCAACTTATTTAACGTATATTTAAAAAGTATATATCATGGGTGTATGTGTGTGCAGGTATAAAACATTCAGAAACAATTAGTATCATTAAAATAATCTGTTTTAGTTAAGTCTACTTTTTGTGTTATAAAAGTTATAAATATTAAGAAAGTGTTGTGATTTACTTTGTGTACAGCATTTTTTTTTGTCTTGGTGTATCATTAAACACCAGTACAACTTAACTGAGTTCATCTTCAAGTCAGTGAAAATTCATATTATTTTATAGGACCTGTCAATGGGTAAATGATTTGCTTTGACGTTTCCTTTTGAACTTAAACTTATACGTCATCTGAAACTTGGGATACCACTTTAAAGAAAAAAAGACTACATTAGATCCAAATACTTAGACTAAATTTGACCTAGAAAGATTTTAAAAAGGGATTTTTTTTTTAGTTATACTATAAATTACAAATTTGCTAAGCACTGTTTCTCTGCATTTAAAATTTTCTGCATGGATAGTATTTAAAACACACTGAGATTCACTCATCAATATGTCCATATTCTTTCATGCATATATAAATATTATTTTTCTTCTTTAAATATAATTTTGAAATTAAACATCAGTGTCTAATGAGATTTAATATGTCACAATGACTAAGAATGACACATAATTTTAGACAGAGATAACTCAAAAATAAAGTACAAAATATTAAAACTTTTATAAAACCATATGAAAGACAGCTCTGTGTACAGGTTGGGGGAAAATTGTTTTAAAAAGATGCACAAGTGAAAATAATAGAATTTTGTACCTAATGTCATAAAATTCCCTTGAAGAACTGACAAGAAGAAAAATTATCTACATATATATTATATGTAACATACCACCCCATGATTTAGGAAATGTGCATCTTCATTAAAAAGCATATCAATAATTTAAAATAACTTTCTGTGAGGAAGGAAGAGTCATGATAAATTGATTGGCTGTAATTAATTATTAAACTTATGTGTGGCAGTTTCATGATATTCCACACCAATTCTTTTCTCAAAATTACTTAACTGATTCAATTCAATTCAACTTAACTGAAATCAATTCAATGCAACGTTTCTTTAGCTTCCAGTATAAAACCAGTCGAAGCACATCAAGAAGAAAATAATAAATAAAACACAACTACAGTCTTCAATACATTGTTGAACAGAGGAGGAAATAATCAATGTGATTTTAAGAACTATGATGGATGATACGATAAATACTAGATTCAGAATAGATTTAAAGTTATTTATTAATTATTTGGACTAAAACAATGTATTTTCAATATTATTTATGTTATGTACTTCATTTTCTATGTGGTAGCTGAATAATTAACAAATTGATGAATGGTATAATCAATTACAATATTGTATAAATGTGTTGGTTTAAACTACATAAATTAAAATTTGAATGTAGTTATGAGTCATAAGTTAATTTGCAATGTATGATGAATAATTACATCTTTAGCTTGGGATAACCACACCAAGGCTTCTTCCTCATTACTATGTTTAACTAAGGGTAATCACTAAAGAAAATGTTTAACAGTGTTAATTCTTTTCCTTTCTTTTCTTTTGAGGAGTACACTTCTATAACTTCTAGGGGGCTTCAGTAAAGTATGACTGCACATATGTTGCAACTCTACATTGCATATTACCAGAGAAATGAAAAGCTATGTTCCACTTGTGTACAATGAACCAAAATGCATTCTACTGTCATGTATAACTAATTAGGACAAATTGAAAAAAAAAAGGTTCCATTGGGGGTTTTATTTTTACCAATTTTTTTTTTTTTTTTTTTTTTTTTTTTTTTTAAACAGAGAGAGAGAATTTTTTTAATATTTATTTTTCAGTTTTCGGCGGACACAACATCTTTGTTGGTATGTGGTGCTGAGGATCCAACCAGGGCCACACGCATGCCAGGCGAGCGCTCTACCGCTTGAGCCACATCCCCAGCCCAACTTTTATTTTTAATTATGTACTTTGGTTAAATAATGTCCTGTGAGGATGTATTTATATAAGTCATCTATATTCCTTTTCTAGCAAAATGAGATATGCTTTATAAGTGATCTAGTTAAACATAACTGAAGCTCTTTCCTCCTTAATATTTAATGCTTATAAATTGTCATAAAGTTTTTCTATTTGGTAATAGTTTTGAGTGCAATTTAAACTTATAATATAGAGTGAAAGTGATCTTTTTAAAAAAAATTCTAAATGTTTATTATTAGGAGTCATCCAACATTAAATGCAAAACACACCACTATCCAGCAGCTCTCTGCATTCTACTAGATGTTTAGTTTATTATATTAATTAGAAAGACAAAGCTACAAGAAAAGAATGAATTACACCCAAAGGTGTGCAAGAGTACCAGGATAATAATCTTTTATTTCCAAGAACATTCATAAAAGTGTAGTAAGG